GCTGCGTAGTTATAAGCAACCCAGCTGAAGAGCAGACACGTGGCTTCGGACCCCCACCCTGTGCTGGGCATTGGTCACAGTGGATGGCCTGGCGCTCACGTGTTTATGACAGGCGATCTCCCGGCATTCAGGAGCTTGGGTTCACCAAGAAGCCTTTGTCTCCATTCACTGCCCTGGCTCCGTCTGGACTTTTCATCATATCTCCGTGAGGAGGCAATATTTCTTTAAACAAGAAGTAGATAACTCAGCACTGTTTGTCCCAAATCTAAATGTGTGCAAAGCCCATGGGTAATGTAAATGAGAATGAGAGCCAGACCCTCCCTTCAGGAAGCTTACAGTCTACAGGACGCCTGTGCGGAAGGGCTGGGGGCAGAGAATGCCTCTGTAAATTCCAAAATAAATGACAGCTCACGAGGCTGGGACAGTTTGGGAATGGACGTTGTTCTCAGGAGAAGTGCTGATCCAACATATAAAATATTTGCAAAACAGTATAAATCCTTATTCCAGCCTCCCCCAAAATGCCAAAGGCGTGGGGGTGTCTATCCTTTAAAAAGTGCTCTTCAGTTTTTTTCACCGCCCACTTCTCTCAAAGCCCCAGAGCTCATGAAATACCAGCTGTCCCTGATAACTCACCCAAAACATGTTCCGAAGTCCCTTCCAAACCCAGCCTTCCCTGGCTCCGTTCCTCTTTTCCCCTTCCCACTCATCTCCTCCCTGCCTGCCCTACCTCTGCTCTTTTATCACACTTGACATGAACAAGGACGGCATTAGCCCCTCTTCATACTCCACTCACCCATTTCCTTGATTTCAATAGCCGTGCTAGGGGAGCAAAGTTCTCTGCAGCAGGAAGCAAAGGTAGAAAAGTTTTCAGCTGGAGGAGAACAGGAGTTCAGTCATATGAAATGGAAGCTGAGAGGACATATCAACAAAACAAGGACAGATAACATTCAACCCAATAGATGAAATCATCCAGAGAGTGCACAGCACAATATCAATACACTGAGCAGCTTCTGGAGTAGGAGAAGTGTGACTACGAAATGGATCTGGAGAAGCTGGGGGAACTGGACCTGTGCAGCCAGAGGGGGTGAGTGGGCACCTCGGGAAGTGCAGATGAGGCCGAGCAGGGACCAAGTCTGTAGGGAAGGGCTGGCTGTGGGGGGAGCCTGGGCCATCTCTCAGCAGAGGTTCCTGGACTTGTTTCCTGTCTGGGGCATTCTGTGACACATTTCCAAATGGGAAAAGCATTCCCCATTGAGCTAGCCAAATAGCTTGAATAAATAATGCAGAAATTATTAAGACATTTTCCAGAGGACCCTAGCATTTCCTGTCTTGACAATGGATCTGCTTTTGACATCAGCTAATTCAAGAGGTTCAAAATAAAAGCTGTGGCCAATGCAAACTTCCCCTCCAAATGTTTTTCAGTAATCTGAGCTTGGGCCATGAGACAATACTTGTAATCAATTTTTCAAACTATCTTAGTATCTTTCATGAAGTCCTGAGCTTGGCCATGTGGATATGCCACTGGCCAGTGACTGTCCCAGGGATAAGAAGGAACACTGAAATAAACGGGGTCCTCATTGCTTCAGCTACAGAACATCAAAAGAAAGGGGACTAGGAAAGATGTTCCAGCATGGACAATGACTTGGGATGAATGGGAGACACACACTGGAAGGCATGAATGCTCTCTAAGGGAATAATACAAAAATAGCAGCCCACATGTACGTGCAGCCACTGTACATAAACCATCTAGTTTATTCCTGATAATGATCCTAAAAGGGAGGTATTTATTCCCCTTATACAGATGACATAACTGGGGATAAGGAAGTTGAGTAACTTGTCCAATCACTAAATGAGTCCGCATAGGTACTGTTTCTCAAAGGAGAATCCACAGACAGGGATCAAATGAGAACGTGAACGCTGAGAAAATCCTGCTCCAATCCCTAAACACTGCAGAAGTGATAATACGGTCACCGTGTCCCAGTCTATGTATCCCAGACCAAGTGGAGGCAGAAACAGGACTTGCACAAAAATCTTGTTCTTAGGACTCTGTCCACCTCTTGGGAATCAGCTTTCTCATCTGTACAATGGGCATCAAAACACCTGCTTCCCAAATGATAAACAAGCTGTAGAAGCCCTTCAGAAAATAACCACAAATTCAATCCCAGGTATCAAAAAAGAAAGAAAAGAAAAGAATTGCATGGTGAAAAGGAATATATGTTATACTTAGGAGTATCTGACAAATTCGTGTGAATCATCCCTATCAATTATGCGTTTTACCCATGGTCACTTAGTTCTCCCTAATGGTCAATTTTCTCACCTGTAGAATGGGGATAATAATTGTACCATCTCATGGGATTCTAGTGAAAAGTAAATAATATCATGCATGCAAGGTACATCCTGAACACTGTCCCATTTACACATAGTAAATGCTCAATACGTATTAAATAATAAGAAAGAAAGAAAATATAGCCAATGCATATGTTACCCTGTGTTTAATTACAACAAGATTGTAATGCCTGTTCTGATGAGCCAGAGCAGTACAGCTTGAGTAAGAAATAAAAGAAATATGCAATGACAGAACTTTAACCCAATACCGGGACCACTCCCCAAGTTTAGTGCATTACTGGAAATCGCTAATAGAGTGCTGCCCATTATTCATGATACGAGCAGTAAGGAATCATGCATAATGGAACAGAGTCCCCCTAACAGCAGATTCACACACAATAATTTAAACTTGTTTGTATGGAAATAAAGGACGATCTTTGAAGTGAGCCTTAATGAGATTCTGCTTGATCTCCAGTGTTCCTGGGAGAGAGAGCTCAGTTTTTCCTCCAGCATGTGGCTCATGTTGGTGGCGTGCAGGAAAGAAAGGGCCGACCTAAATTATGAATGGCCCTTCTTTTCTTTGTGGTAGCAGGTGAGGGGCAGGGTTGTTCCTTCCTGGAGCTTCTGCTGCAGAGGTGTACAAAGGACTTGGTGAGCCAGGGCACTGCGGAAAGGGGGTATGCAGCCACCCCAAGGATAGAATGAACTAGTGCACCCAGCAGGAAGCTGCATGTTGCACCAGGGACCTGGCTTTTCAGATTCTCCTGTGCACACTCGCAAAGGGCTCCCGCCCCACCCCACACCCGTGCCCAGGAGCCCTGGAAAGCAGCCCTGGCCAGACGGCTGCCCAGCTGGCTGCTGCAAAGCTCCAAAGGAGTCGGGTCTGCTCACCTGGGCCTGCTTGTTCAGAGGTCTCGGGAAGTGGGTTTGTGTTTGGGTTGACTAGGGAAACGAGTATGATTGCTCATGTTTAAAAATCAGTGATTTTAGAAAATAATTCAGGCCACGGGAGAGGTCTCACCGGGTGACCAAGAGCCGTGAGCCGATGACTGTACCACAGCTGGGTTTTGCTGAGATCCTCCTGTGTGGAGGCGCCTTGCTGGGGCCCTTCCTTACCTCAGCCCGGTGAATGCTCCACAGTCCAGGAGGAAGAAAGCGCTTTTGACCTCTGTTTTACAGATGAGGAAACTGAGGATCAAATTTCTGGACCAAGCCAGCAAATAGTGGGTACTGGGATTTTGTATGTATGATTTTTTTCCCAAAATATACATATCTTTATTAATGCGTATTGATTTTACCAAGTACTGGGTGTCATGATGGCGTTTCCATACAAGCACATAACACATTTTACCCCAGGCCTCCCTCCTTTGCCTTCCCTTACACCTCTCTACACCTCTCCTTTTCTCTTGTCTAATCATAGTCTCCTTTCTATTTTCATGTCACCTTTGGAGTTTTTGTTTTGTTTTTTGTTTGGCTTTGTTTTTAGATTCCACTTACTAGAAAAAGAAAACAGGGATTTGAACTTGGCACCTGTTTGATCCCTAGGTGCACTTTCTTGCCCACGCTTGGTGCAGCCTCAGCTGACCTGCTTTCTCTACAATGAGGAGCGGGGCCTGGGCCGGGTGACACTCAGCAGGGCACAGTCAAGGACAGCGCTCCGGAGGCACCCGCCTCAGTCCCTCGCCACCCTACAGCTGTCTTGTGCTTTAGTACTGGGAACCTGGCATAGAGCAAACCCAAGCACAGCACTCCCGGCCGGCCCCAGTGCCTTGGTTGTCCTGCAGGATCAAGACTGTGGTCCCCATCTGCCTTGTTCCTCCAGTGACGCATCCCTTGTTTGTAAGCCAACACGTCTGAGTGACACGTTAAGAGAGTTTCGTGTGCTCGATCATTTCATTCTTTAAATTCTTTTTTCCATGTTAGTGCCAAGACTACTAATGCGCCTACATGACACACACCCAGCCAGGGAAGCCACTGCTGTGAAACAGGCACTGCCTTGTTCACTGCTGTGTCCCCAAACCGAGAGCAGCCTCAGGCAGGCAGAGGGAAACACGCAGGCAGCTGCCCTGGCGCCCTGTCCCTAGCCCTAACCCTAAGTCCACCTGTCCCTTGGACAGCTTGGGTTCCCAGGCTGGTGCCCTCGGGAGCCCGGCAGTGAAGAGACGTGCAAATGTGACAATAAGAGATCATTTCTCCAAAGAAAGCAGAAGCAGAAGGAAGCAAGGAATAAAAGATGTGGATTGGGAAACTAGTTTAGATGGAGTTACCAGCAAGGGCTGCTGGAGAAGGTGACATTTGAACCAAGATCTAAATGAACAGAGAGAATGAGTGAAGGAGACAGTCCAGATGGTAGGACTACCATGTACAAAGGCCCTGGGGCAGGAACAAGTTGGAGGGACCATCAAGAAGGCCCCAGGTAGAGTGAAGGGTGGGCAGTGCGTGGCCACATCAAATATGCTTAGAGCCTGCAGCCTGTTCACCACCCAGGACGACCTTGCAAACTGTCTGCTCTGCCCTGGCATCCACCTGATTGAGAGTCCTCTCCTCCGCCACTTCCCTGAGTATTTCCTCATGCTTAGATTATTACCAAATACAAACACCCTGCAATCCAGGGCTTTTTGAAATAAGTTAAATTAATCTAGAATCAATCTGCATCCAGAGATGAGGACCAGAGCTCTGTGAGGGAACCGTGTAGGCGGGGCCGTTTCATCTTCCTGTCACACACAGCTCTGCTGGCCACAGTGCCAGCCTGCGTCAGTGTGGGGGGCCATCACGGGGCGAATCGAGGGTCAACTTGGCTGCTCTCACAGCAGCATGTCCCTGCCTGGCAGCTGTGAAATGGGCTAATGTGCCAGCTATTTTTAATACCAAAGCATATCAATAACAGAGCCACCAGACCAGCCTCGCATTCCCACTTAACTATTTCTGGCTCTGGGGTCCCAGCGAGGACCCTACTCCCTCCCTGCAACAGCAGCCCCAGTCTGGTCTGGCTACTTCCTTCTGCAGAACAAATACTTCTTTTATGCTAACCACAGCCACGAGCCAAAAAGTTACAAAGAAATAAAAATAAACAGGTCCTGGGATGAGTCTTTGAGGAAAAAGCAGGCTTTTTAATAATCAAAATCTTTACACATTTCATTTCATCATTATGTGAAGATGTTGAAAGAGCCAGATTTTTAGAACATGACCCGGTCCCTTCATGCAGAAGAAAATCCATTTCCTCATTTAATCTCGCCCTGACTTGGTGTGTATTCAATTACAAGTTCAAGCTAGCCACACCAACCCCGTAGGAATAGCCTTTTTCTTCTTCTTCTTCTTCTTCTTCTTCTTCTTCTTCTTCTTCTTCTTCTTCTTCTTCTTCTTCTTCTTCTTCTTCTTCTTCTTCTATTTCTTCTTCTATTTCTTCTCCTTCTTCTTCCTTCTTCTCCTCCTCCTCCTTGTCCTCCTCCTCCTCCTTGTCCTCCTCCTCTTCCTCCTCTTCTTCTTCTTAAGGGCAGGACCGGATTTTCATTGTATTGAACATAAATGAGAAAAAGTACATCGCAGAATAAAACTTAAAATGCTTTTAATGGCATTTTCATTTTAAGACTGCCTGTAATAGAGATGACCTCATATTCACCTAAGATTTCTCTGGCTGCGAGTTCAGATTTCATGCCAATTAACATGTTAATGACATATATCACTTAAAGAGCCTATCATAACTTTTATCACATCATGTTACATCTATTTCCTCGTAATTAAATCAGAATTACAGGGTGTAATTACTTTTCTTTTCCTGAATACCCATTCCTTTCAGACATTTAAATTCAAGTGCAAGTACTAAAAGACACTTGAAAGTAACAACCTAATAAAAATATTATCAATTAATGAAAGTGTTGGGTTTCTTCTAGTCTCTGGTTTCTTTTTGACAAATTCCTTTTTCTCCATGTTCTTCGCCTGACATGTAATGATTGGTCGTATCCAGTCAAATACTTCATAAGCTCTTTAAATCCTCAGGGCCCTAGACTCCATTAATATTCAATGTTCTCACACATAAATATAATTACATACAATTATTAGCGGAAAAGGATCAGATAAGGTGTATTAAGGAAATATCCTATAATTACCCAGGTCCAAGACTTCCCTTTACATGTTCATTCAACCAGGGGTTGGAATCTGTAATCATTCCACCTACAAAACAGCTATTGACTTTGATTTCACTTTGGAAACAGATCGTAGATGGCAGGCAGGATTGCAGAGGGATTGATTTTGTTTAGAAGACAACTTACTCTCGTGATAATTCTGCAAAATCTGTGAACCCAAAGGTAATGATCTGGCCACCTCTGGTCTTCCACACCCTTTCCCACAATGAATTTTAGCTGTGTCCTACTTTAAATTTGAACCTCATGAAGACTTCTAGTAACATCTAAGAATGTGAAAAAAATCTGCAGGCAGGCATGTGCTGTTCTGTGAGCATCTCTCAGAATTACGGCAGAACTACAGCAACAAACATGTATTATTTGAGAAACCAAGTACTACAAGACCGGTAGAAAAGCAACTTCTTTGTTGTCAAGTTCTATGTATTTAGGTCAAATCGATCTTTCATTTGGCAAATATTCAAAGTTCCTGTGAGTATATATAACGTTAGGCATCATTTTAGGCCTTGGTGATGAGTTACATGGTCAAGGTCATTTTGGCCAACATGCCAACCTTCTAGGGGAACAGAACAGACCATAAACTAGTGAACCATAGGATGAATAAGAGGATGACAGCTAATGATGAGGGGCAAGAGGAGAAGACAGCAGAACAAAGTGGGAAGTGATGGATGGTTCTAGACAGTGCAGCCAGTGAAGAGGGCATCTTGGAGGGCCATCATCACACTCCCATGGCCACAGTGGATAAACCTCTCATGCATTTCCCTAGAAAATTCCTAGAGACCCCCCCCCCCTTTTGCACATGGCTCCCAGCTTTCTTCATGAATTCCTTTCTTCTTCCACAATGTCCAATCCTGCTTTCCTCTTCCAAGCAGAGCAATTCAGCTTGGCCCAGGTCCTTCCCACCAAGCCCTTCCCCACACTCAGCAAAACCCAGACTTTCATTGAAAAGACCACTCAGGGGCCAGCTAGCCCTCTGGGGTTTCACCTCCTCCTTTCTACCCCACATGGCTCAACACAGGATTTCTCGTGAAAACATCCCCTGCCCTCTCCCAGGAAAAGCCCAGTGGATGCAGTTATCACTTTGCAAATGGCTTATGGATTGGCACATGCCTACAAATTCCCATTGACTAAGCCCGGGACATGGAATCTCGAGGAAACAAGCAGAGGCAGCAGCTGCCTGTTTTTGCATGCTTCTTCCTGTCCGTGATCTCCTGCATTTATTCTCTCTCCCCAGACAGTCAGTAGCTGATGAGGTGAGCCATACATCTATGGGCATTTGTTTATGGTGGGTCTGGCAAACTGAAGCCAGAAGAAAGGTCTTCGTAGAACATAATCTCGCCCATTCGCTTGCACATTGGCCCAGTTGCTCGGGAGCCACCAGGCAGAGCTGAAGCCTAACACAGCCCAAATCATCTTGTGATCATACTGTGTTCCTGCACAGCTTGATCTCTGGACACTGAAATTTGACTCTGTATCATTTTCACGTGCTGTGACATATTCTTCTTCTCTTGCTTTTGTTGTTATTCAATCATTTCCAAATTTACCAAATTTACCTTCATCAAAGCAGGCAGCAGGACAGATCAGGCTTAGGGTTGTAATTTAAGGGGTTGCTGACAAACTGCAGGCTTTCTGGGTTCTCAACTCCATCTCTGAATCCAAAGTCCCAGCGTCCTCCTGGAGAGAGAGCAGAGATGGTGTCCAGTTGCGCATGGCCGGTCCTTCATCCCCAGAATGTGTGTCCCCCACAGAAATGCTGTCCCTTCCCGTTCTGCACTCCTGAACTGGAGCTCATTAGGAGAGAAGACCGCTTGCCCTCAGTGATGTCCCCAGCCTACAGCTCGAAGCCCAGCGCCAAGCAGTGACTCAAATGACATTAGTGAAGAAGAGAAACCGAGAAAGGTCAAAGACAGAGCATCCTTCATGTGGTTCCCAAGCTAGTCTCTAATATCATTAATGCTATGATAAAATAAAACCAGTACTTACTACCAAGATGAATAATTACCCATTTCTCCAAACCTAGTGGAATGGGGAACAAGAAAGAAGAAAGGGTACCATGGGTTCCCTGTGAGCAATAGGTTTAATCGACTTCCGGAAATACGGAGGCCTGGACCCCGCTCCACAGCATGTTCATTGATTTCCAAACGAACTGAGGCCACTTCCTGACAACTTGGGGGGAAAGGGACCAAACCGTGAGGCTCCTCGTCTATCTTGGGCAGTTTACAATTCAGAGCCGGCCTTGTGAACAACTCAACCCTGTCATGACCATTAATCCTGAGATGGGACACACTGATCCAAATGGGCTCTGACTGCCTGGGACAACCCAAAGTTCAGCTGCTTCCAAGCGTGTCCTTCACTCCGATCCCCTGGGTGCCGGCTGACGTCTGTTTCAGCAGCGCACTGGGGGCTGCTGGGATGGCTTCATGCAGACCTGACATTGCAGGGGCTTCTCCGCTGCTATTTCCCTTCCAGCTGACAGCTCAGCCCGCACCCCAAGCCGGCCTGACGGTCACTGATTCCCTCTCTTCCGATTAGCCTGGGCAATGATTGGGGTAATTCAGGACTTACACCACTTGATTATCTGTACAGTTACAACAAATAAAACATTTTAATATGAGCAGTCGCTGCGTGTTTACTGTATCATATTGCCGAGAGCTGAACGAAAGCCAAATGCTCCAACAGAAGGGGGGATGTGAACTCCAGAATGATGACACTAATAAGGAAATTACAAAAGGCCCAACAAATGGCATTCGTGTTAAATCAATAATGCTCTGTTTATTTTTTTAATTCTAATCTTTCTCCAAAAAAAATTATCTTTCTAAACACTTGGCGATTCCTATTCTTGTTCGTCTTCCTGAACATAATTAAAAACATGTTGTAGCGTCTACTTAAGACATCAACTTTCCCAAGGCTGTCTTGTCCACTGCGTTTTAAACAAAGCGACTTGTTTTGGCATTGTGCCCTTAATTAATCATTGGAGGTTTTATTGCTGTACAGAAAAAAAAAGTGTCTTTGTTTAATGATTCACCACAAGCCCAGTTTCTGCAAAACTTAATCAAATACAGAACCAACTTTCTAATCAGCTTAAATTTAAAAAAAAAACAAAAAAAAACCTAAGTTGGCCTTGTTTTCCGGATATTATTTGATAAGAGAAATATTGGTATATGACATCCTGCTAATGTGGGCTGCTAGGGATTTTTTCATGGGCAGGAGATGGGTCCTCTGCTTTTGGAGTTGGGAATGGAAGTCCATTATCTGCTGAGAAAACAGAAACTTCGATGGCCCGCGAATGTCATTTTGCACATCAGCCTTGCAGAGCAGGGGACACATCCTTGGAGAGGCCCTTGGGACTCACGACTTGGTTTGCAGTGTGTGATGCTGTCTCTGGGAGCCCAGTGGTATGTCCTAAAGTCAAGGCACTTCCGCAGTGCTGGCCACCCACCCGGCCCAGGCCCAGGACTTCTTACATTGGCTCTGTCATCAGACACCAGTGGCACTAGCACTTTCGGCAGACTTCATTTCTCAAACTCATTCCTGAGCAGAACTCACTTGTGGGCCCTGACATAAGAAAAAAGCAGAACAAACCAAGGCACCTGTAAATCACAAACAAATCTATAGGCTTTTGAGAAAGGTCTCAATTCAACAACACAATTGCTGGAAGAGGTAATATATATTTGGAATTAAAATACCTCACTTTCCCAGCTCTGTGTGTGGAACATCCTAAGAAGGGTGAGTATTCTATATTATCACATTATTATTATTGTTATATTCATGGCAACTTTTTTTTTTTTTGGTATCGGGGATCGAACTCGGGACCTTGTGCTTTCGAGGCAGGTGGTGGAACCACTGAGCTAAATCCCCGGGCCTTCATGGCAACTTTTAATCAGTGGTACTGATCTACAGTACTCTGAAAAAGGAGACTGAAGAAGATACCAGACAATGGAAAGACATCCTTGTTTTTAATAGCCAGAACCAATATAGTGAAAATGGCCATACTTCCAAAACTGTTACATCCAATGTTTTGTTTTGTTTTGTTTTGTTTTGTTTTGTTTTGTTTAGAGGTTTTGAGGCTTGTTTGGGGGATTGAGCCCAAGGTCTTCACACTGAGCTACATCCCCAGTCCTTTTTTTAAATTTTGAGACAGAATCTGATTCAGTTACCCAGTAGGTCAGGTTGGACTTGAATTTGTGGTCCTCCTGCCTCTTCTCCCAGAGTGCTAGGATTGCAGGCATGCACCACCATGCCCCGCTTGGTACGCTTTTTAATCATTTTGATAAGATCGATAACTCAATCTTCCCTTACTCATGCTACTGAAAGTCAAACGTCACTGTAAATGTCATTTTTGGAGCGCTTCCCTTTCCCAGGCACTGGGTACACTACTTCTGGGGCATCTTCTCCTTTAGGACAGGAAGTATCGTTCCCATTTGACAATGAGTAAGTGACGGCTCGATTTGACTGGTAGTTTATTTACTGCTGTGACCATAGTCCTGCCTTCTACTCAACCTTCCCGACGTGATGGGAAATCCCTAGGGACTGTGATTCCCTCCGATCTCAACTTCTCCCAGATTCCGACTAGCATCTCCCGGGGAGGGCTGGCAGCTGAGACCGGAGTTGCGAGGGTCTCCCCCTGTGCACACCCGGGAGTCTGCCAGCCTCCAAAGCAGCACTGTATTTCCTTCTCTTTAAAATCTACCCAAAGATCGCCTCCTGCTGCGCAAGCGCAAGGACCTGAGTTCGATCCCCGGTACAAAAAAAAAAAAAAAATTTACCCAAAGAAAATAAGCCTCCCTACCCTCAGATAAGGCTTCAGCCGGAGCCTGGCCTTTCTGTCCCCTCTCCCCAGGCAGGTCCCCGTCACGAGAGCTCAGCTGCGACTTCGCAGGTGGGGCCCGCCTTCCTGCCGCGCCTGCGCAGTTCACTGCTGCGCCCCTCTTCCCGGCAGAAAGCGAGGCTGGGCGGGGGCGCTGGTGCCGAGTGGGCTCGGGCGGGAGTCGGGGACCAGGCCGCCTCTGCGTCCCAACCAGCCTTGAGCTTGGTCTCCGTCAGGTTCCCCCGGAAACCTCGGAGCCAGGGACGCCTCGCCCCAGCGGGGAGTGCGGAGGAGGCGGACCCAGGAGGAGACAGCCAACAGGGGGCGCTGTCCCGCGGGCTGCGATGGCTAAGCGGCCCTGGCCCGGGGCGCTCCGGGCGCCCTTGCAGACCGTGCCCTCAGCCCCGCTGCACACCCTGGACGCGAGGGGACAGGCGGGGGGCACGGACAGCCCTCCCTGGCGCACCCCCAAAAGGACAAAGACGGGGTCGCGGAGCAGGGCAGCTGCTCTCTCCAAACAAGCCCCCTTGGCCGTCACGCCGGGGCCCCTCTGGCGAGCCCTGGCTTGCCCTCCTCCCTGGGCCCGGGGCCTCACCTGGAGCACTGCGGTGACAGTGGATCAAGCTCCCTGCTGGGTTTTCCCCCTGCTGTGCTTTTCTTCCTTGATGCTTGGGGAAGAATAATTCAGTAGTCCTTAGGGTGAGGTTGGCCAAGGTTCCCTACCTCCTGGGGGGCTCCAGAGGGCCAGAGCTGGGCACATATTGGTCTCACCCTTTCCTTAGCTCTTTAGCACTTAGTGCAAGGCGTGGCGTAGCGAAGGTGCTCAGTAAAAATGAGTAAAACACACATTCCTCTACATCCACGTATGCATGTCTCTCTACATAGGTACATGAATGCTGCATGTCAAGAACCTAGAGCAGGGCCCCTGAATTCATGTGCCTCTAGGAATAAGTCAAGGCAAGCCTGAATCAAGAGACCAAAGGGAAGGGCAGGGAGTGTGGCCAGCCGCAGAGGACCTGCCCAGTCTAAGGCGGGTAGCAGCTGCTCACTTCCATGTGGCTTTCCAAATCTGCCGTATGCGCGATCTCACAATTTTTTTTCAGAACACACTACAAATGTAGTATGTGAAATTTCTTGATATTTATCATATTGGAGATAGCTGCAGATTCTTAAAATACACGGTTCAGATCGAACAAAACACAGGCCAGGCAGTTCACCAGCTCTGAAGCAGTTTCCGGTGTAAAGGGCAGCCTCTTCCGGTCCGCTCCTCTGCGACCTCTCCCTTGGTATGCAGGTAGACTGTGCCGTGCTAATTGCCCAGGTAGGTGTGGCCACTAGGACAGGTGGAAGGAGGAGCGGGCCTCAGCTGAGCTCTCACACACCACAGGTTCTGTCAGCCCAAAATGAGCTGGCTTCTCTCTACGCCCAGCAGGGTCCCTCCTTTGCCGGAGGAGTGGTGTCTCCGCCCTTCCCCATCTGCTCATGCCACCAGCCAGTTGGTGTGACGAGGTGACCAGAAAAGGCGCGGGTGTCCCGCCGGCACTGAGCACTGTGTGAATATCCACGTGTGCACCCGCAGGGTGGCAAATATGACGTCCCCACCAGGGTGACGCAGGACAGAGGCGTGTGGGCTGCGCTCCTCTGCAGGGGACGATGCAGTCAGAACACTGCAAGGCACACAAGATGAGCTCCAGAGCTTCTCTGTCTCATCCAGAGAGGTCACGCTTGTTATTAGGACAGGACTCCGTCTGAATCCACCTATGAACCAACAGGCCGGCGCTTTCACAGGTGGGGCCATGCACTGTGTTTGGGAGCGTGAGCGCTTTAGCCTCTTTAGGGGAGAAGAGGACAGCCGCTGGAACAACGTCTCAGAAGTTACCCTCTTCCACTTGCAAGCGCACAGTGAGATTTTATCTGGATTTGGACCTGACTTGGGCGTGTGTGTCAGAGGGGGCTAAGGGAATCGCTCCTGGCTGGAGGGCTCTGGTGAAGGCGTAGGCTTTCCGGGTTGGTGACCGAACTCTACCGTGTGCTAGCTGTGTGATCTTGGGCTGCCTAAGCCTCGGTCTTCGCCTCTGAGAAATGGGAGTGGTGAAGCACCTACTTCATGTGGGGTATAAGAGACGAAATTCGTGGGCCAGGGATTTAGCTCAGTGGTTCCAGCGCTTGCCTCACAAGCATAAGGACCCGAGTTCGATCTCCGGCACAAAAAAAAAAGAGAAAAAATTCGTACAAACAGGTAGAGCCTGGAAGAATGCCTGGCCTGACACTTAGCAGGCACTGCTTCCACGTGCAGGATTTTCATCCACTGGACCCACACATGCCTGTTTTAGTTTTTCTTACCCAGAGATTCTGAAAAGAAGGAAGCGAACCTCTCTTGCCACTCCTGACACTCAGAAGACCTGTTATTTAGAGGAACTATCAAGTGGGACAGTATTCACCTTGGTGTTAAAAGTAATATCTAGGGCTGAGGATTTAGCTCAGTGGTTTTGACGCCTAACTTGCAAGCACAAGGGCCTGAGTTCGATCCCCAGTACCAAAAGAAAAAAAAAAAGTAATACTTTAGGTACCCAGGAAAGTTGTTTTTAAGGTAATACATACCTACACGTTTACCTATATAGAGAGTATTTCTGCAAAGATCAGAAATGAAGATTAAAGTTAGAGGGGCATTTTCTGGTAGTGTTTGAATTTTTTTACGAAGTTCTTGTATTATTGAGGGTTTTTTCCCGTAAAAAAAAAGTTTAAAAGCAAAAGCCGGGACTAAGCTCAGATGCCACCAGCACTGGACTTGACGCCGCGCACCTGACGCTGCTCCCTCTGGGTCTCTCGGACTGAGCTTGTGTCAGAGGCTGCTGAGCTCGGTGCAGGGCACTGGCTCCCGGGCAGCAGCCTGAGAAGCCCGGCTCTACCTCTACAGCCGAAGCCTGTGAGGTGACACTGCCACCTGTGTGCCCACTGTTTCTCGGAGCGACAAGAGAGGCTTCCTACGGCTCCTGGAGGCTTTGACTGACTGCGATACTGTTCTTAGAGTGCTGAGGGCAGGTTCTGTCGTATATAAATAGGAGTGGTTGTCATACCTGGTGGCTGATTTCGAACTTCCAGCTTTACAAAGATGGCAGCAAATCAAGATATTCACAATTGTCATATACGCAAATTAAGAAGACAACACCTAGAAAAGTAAACCTTTCCCTTCTTCTCTCCCTCTCTCTCCTTCCTCTTTAATAAATATCCCTTTACTGAAAGCTCTTAAAGCTCTTTGGGAAACTTATGCAACAAAAGCATTAAAAATCAGCAAAATGTCGGCCATTTTCTGCAATTTATCTTTTTAGTCCAACGCGCAGCTGAAGAAATGCTAGTGGGATAAAAATTAACACACGTGATAACAAAATTATTGGTACAGACGATACTAGAGAAGCAGACATGGCTGGCTCTTCCACAGCGAGCCAGGGGCCCTGTTTTCTCTCCTTTTCTGCTCCTTACTGCGCTCTGCACCTCATGCCTACACACACACACACACACACACACACACACACACGCACACACACACACTCCTCCACAGCTCCAGAATTACCCCTCTCCTTCTGTCCTAAACTTGTATTACAGACAATTTATCTACCGATAGCTACCCACACAATTCCCCCAAATCCATCCAATATCCTAATCCTGTAAGATAAATAACAATGGGAAAATATATCATAGCAAAGCATAATTTGTCATATGAGTGTATAGATTTGAGTGTGTACATGCTGTATGTGTGTATTGTGTGTATTGTGCACACACATATTCAGGCACTACAACATAAGGCATAAGAGTAACCGGATCTAAGAAAAGTGTGAGGACATTTAACACCCAATTACCTACACCTTCTCCTTATATGGACATTCTGAAATAAAGGCTAAACTGTATGTGTGTGTGTATAAACATCACAGCTTCGGTGACTTCTGGGAGGGTTGTGGAGCTGGGGAAAGGTTTCAGCAGAGACTGGCACAGCAGCTGGGGTGACCCCGGCCCCCACGTGGAGGGAGGAGGCTGTCTGAGCACCCTGCCACCAGCAAGGATCGGAGAGAGGAGCAGGAGACACTCGGTGCAGGTCTCAGGGTGAAGGTGGTGAGAGGCGAAGCCCTGCAATCCAAGTATGGGAAGAACCCGTGCTCTGTTGAGCACACCCAGAGGGCACAGTGTAAACAGTAACAGCACCCGGGAATCCCACTCACCTGGCCTCATTTTGTTGACAGTCCCATTCTCCACCAGGCTGTGAGCTTCCTGAGAGCCTGCTCCTGGCCTTTTGATTTCTGTGCCCTCTATTTGAAAGCAGACATCATGTTTCCCTGAAAATAAGACCTCGCTGGAGAATAATCAGCCTTGAAAACTCGCAATCAAAACTGCCAGCCCCTGTCAGCCTGTCCTCACCTAACCTGCCGTGGAGTAGCCGTGAGCAGGAGAACAGCGATGGCAGGTCACAACTGAGGACCAGCTGGAGACCCTAAGGCCTACGGAGTCTAAGAGTCACTCCCGGACTCAGGAAATCAGCTGCCAGCCACACAATCCAACATCGTACCAAGAACACAGTGAATCTTCACGAATGTGTAAGTGCGGATCGGAACACAGCAGTAGGACTTCCTTTCATATGGAGAGAAATAACCCACTGGCTCCACTCAGCCCGGTTCACCCTCGAGCTGTACCCTCAACTGTGGAAATTTCTTCCCGATTCACTATTCTCTCAGTTGGTCCAGGCCCTGACAAGGCTGGATGCTGTTGAGAGTTGAGGGGGGGAAGCTTGAAGACAGAAAACCACGCCATGTTGGTCAGAAGAAGTCTTCTAGGCCACAGACATTTGGGACAGGTGGGGGCGCCCCGTGCCCTTGGGATGCCTCGCGCCCTCCCTGACCTCTCCCGCTGGACACAAGCCCCACCCCATGACCAACACCACTGTCTCCTGGGAAGCACCACCTCCCCCCAGTTGAGACCTGTGGCTTTAGAGAGAAAAAAATACAGATTAGAGCTAGGCATAGCTCCCCTGGTGGATGACCCACAGGCGTGCCCAGTTTTTCAGAAGCTACCCAACCTCCCTCCATAGCCAGGTGTTACTGACTCGGCTCAGCCATCAGGATGTCCCCGATAGGTTAAAGTCCCGCAATTACATTCGCCCCTCTTTTTTCTTACTCTGTCATCAGTGGAAAACAAAAAATAGAGAAGAGCTGATATGTACGCTCACCACCATAGTGCTCCTTCCTAGCAGTCTGCAGAGACACCATACCGAGTTCGGCACACTCACTGAACTTCCTGGGATGCTGCACACAGAGCCAGGAGCCGGAGTGGCTGGGTCCCTCACCTCGTGGAGCTACATTCTCCCCAAAAGAACCAATAAGCCAAGAAACAAGCAAGTGCTATCTGTTATTGGTGAGTGTTTGAAGCCATAGAAGTGAACCCTGGGCCAGCATGGTGAGGAAGGCCCCGCTATGGAGGTGATATTTAATCAGAGGCTGGGATCATTCAGAAGAGCAGCACCGTCAAAGGAGAAGCAGCGGATGCCTGCCCTCAGTGTGGGGCAGTCTGGGTCCCTGGCTGTGCTCTGAGTGGAGCAGGCAGTGCTGGATTCTCTGAGCGACTTCAGGAAACAGCGTCTTCTGGACCCCAGCACGCCCTGGGGACCCCTCGTGGATTGTGGCTCATGGGTTTCCTCAGCGACCACAGTCAGAGCCGAGAGGGAGGACACCCAAGGTCCCAGGACACCTACTCGATGCTTCCGGAAGTTGCTGCCACTTGTTGGAGCCAGGAAGGAAAACTCAGTTCTCTCAGGGTGCAGCAGCTTCATGGACCAGGTTGTTCTGTTCTGCTTGTGACCCAGCCCCCTCTTCATACAGACTGAAACACAGCAGGCAAGACAGGGACATCGAGGGGTCTCCTTGGAGGGTTGCTTACAAAGACGAAGACAGGATGTGTTAGCAGTGATGAAGATACCCGTCGTGCTTGGGGTTTCTGTCTCGTGTGAGGCACAGCGCCAGGATCTTTGCATAAATATTTCTCCTCACAGCAGCCCCAGCTGGCAGGCCTGTTAGCAGTATCCCCACTGATTGCCCCATGCATCCTGCCGAGCCCGAGGCCCACACGAGCTGACAGTGATCACCCACTCACTTCTCCCCTCTCGTCTCTGCCCTGTGTAGACAGCAGGACCCCTGACTTACCCATTCCTTATTCACCTAGCATCTATCACGTGCCTTCCTTCCGGGTCCCAGGCACTGCTCTCGGCAGGAGTCCAGAAGATGGGCACGCTGAGGCAAAGGGAGTCCAGAAAGCAAAGGATAAAATGTGTTTAGGGCACAGAAAGACTGGGGCAGCGCAGAGGACAAGGAGGGACAGGCACAGGAGGAAGCTCAGGGAAATGGTATGCAGCAAGGGCAGGCAGAAAAGAGGAGTGAGAACGCAGATAATCTGGGCAAGAACATTCCAGGCAGAGAGAATTGAAGTAGTGATCAAGACCAAGCAGTGCCAGCCTGGCAGAGAAAAGCATCACAAATTCCAGTGCTCAGAGGACCAATCCCACAACGTCTCGTTGAAAGAAAACCTCCTGGGGTGAGCACGCTCCATAGATACTGCATGCTGCATTTGGGGTTTGCAGCACCCCTTGGATGATGAGAAGTTCTGCAATGGAGTCTTCTTCATACATTCTCCTCCAAGCACACTGCCTACACAGTAATTTCTTCACGTAACACCTGTTGTAGCCCACAGAGCTATGTTTCCATGAAAACTGATTTGAACTCAGGGCTCTGTATAGTTTCTCCATTCTCTTTCCCAGATTGGCTCATTCAACAAATGCCCACTGAGTGCCTCCTCACCAAGCATCAGTCACTGAGCCAGACTGAGCTGAAGGGGGAGCAGGAAACAAGCCCAATGTCTCCACCTTAGAAAGTCACACCGGGACTGGGGATTTAGTTCAGTGGTTCCGCCGCCTGCCTTTCAAGTGCAAGGTCCTGAGTTCGATCCCTGGTACCAAACAAAAAAAGTCACACCCACAAAGCCGGTGAATGTCACCAAGGAAGATTCGAGCGTGTGGACGTGGACACTTCCAGTGTTGACACACTCTGTGAATTCAGTGACCTAAACTTCCCAGCAGATTGTTTTGGGGGAAGGAGCAGTTAAGGAACTGGCCTATTCCAA